TATGACATATATGATGTTTTGATTGCACTATAAATAACCAGGATTTGATTTGATGATCTATTTTTTTCTGTTTGGTAATGTGCCCTACAAAAACTGACTGAATTATAATTTTTCCAATTTGTCCATTCATGTATTCTTCCATAAATACAATGAGGGGTCCAATTAGTTGCATCAGTCATTTTAGTTGTTTTTTATTAATTTTGTATTTCCTCGGTTCCTCTGCTGGTTAGATCAAACCAAACTAATCTCAAACTCAGTAACTAAAACTCTTTAATCAAAGATATGTTGCGGAGGTTTGCAGGATGAGAAGGGCATGAAATAAAGAGACCAGCAACAGAGATTGAAGTACGAGGTTGGTGTTTAAATAGTACCTGGCACTGATGTTCCTAACGCCACAAACACCACAGCTGTCACTGAGTCCTTCAGGCCTACGGTGCAGCCGAAGTGTGAGGCCAGATCACCGGTCAGTGCAGTCAGGACGCCAATGAGAGATATTGAGACGATGAAGCAGGCCCAACCATTCCAGTACTCCGTGGGTGGGACGAAGGCGAACAGAACCTTCCAGAAGACAGTGAGGAAATGCATGATATAGTCGAAGCAAGATGGCAGCCGCTCCTCGCCGCTCTCCTCCTCGTCGTCGTCTCCTATAAAAGGAGTTGGGAAGGTACAAAGAGCGAGACAAAAGGACACGAGGACAGAGGAATTATTTTGACTTGAGCAAGAATTTATGCCAAGGAGGTAAAAGCTTTGAGATTAAATAAGAAGTTCAACATTTAGTGAAGTGAGCTTATTGGATTTATTGCTGACGTTCTGTCGACTCCAGCCAGATGGTGATTAAGAGAATTTTGTGTGACGCCTTGAGCTACACAGCACACCTAAATCTCCCTACAAGTCTCCGCCTGCCAACACACTAATAGCTCACTAATAACACTGGCTGCCTCATTTACAGAATGGCTTTGGTCCTGGAAGTAATTATGCCATTGAGTCTTTTTCATAAATAATCAGGCTGATCCAAAAATATGGAGATAATAAAAATATAACCTTGCCACTTTTACCAACAGGTACTTTTTTATTTCTCTGTCTGTATACCAACAGGTACTTTTTTATTTCTCTGTACAGTACTCTGACTCCCAGAAGCACAGCTTGACCAGAACATGAATCACAATCTGAAAATTGACCAAATAAATAATCTACAGTTTCTGCTCAGGTTCTGAAGCTGAGATGTTTTTTGTCAAGTAATAGATGGTAGTAGTTCAATACTTGGTTGCACATTTCTGCAATCTTAATAATAGGTAATAAATTAATGTTGTGTTTAGTATGACAGCTCATGTCTTAAAATTAATTAGCTTTTTTTATTTACTACATTATCCCGCTATGGATAGTGTGTCAAGTGTGTATTCTCTGGGGAGTAAAAAGATGGAGGAGCTATTGTGGACACTCACTGCCAGTTCACCTGACTCTTGGCATTTAAAAACCTTTGGTGAAAATATGATAAAGATCCAATTTAAACTGCGTATGTTTTTTTTGTGATGACATATGTACACATCATCAATGGCCCTCAAATGGCAGCCCCTGGTCCACATATGGCCCACGGGTCAGTTATTTGTGGCCCATGATTTTTTTCACATTAATATCTAGCCAGCATCCAGACCCTAAATGACATGTTGAAGTTAAAAAAAAAAATTGAGTGGCTGGGACTTTGTGTCATGTCCCACTTCTTCACCTCTCTGTGGACTGTTGACTCATTGGCCAAAATGTCTCTGTGGATCTTAGGATTTGGTTTTGAATACCTCTGATGTATACGAGAAAGCATTTGTGTCAGACATAATAAGTGTGTGTCTGTGTGTGTGTGTGTGTGTATGTTCATGTGTGGAGGTTTACCTGCACTGACGGTCACGGCATTGACAAACTGTTCTCTCCAGCTGCTGCTTCCCACCACCAGGGCCAGGTTTGTCTTCTTGATCAGCTTATCTACAGTGCTCTACACACACACACACACACACACACACACACACACATATACAAAACATGCAAGTGTGTACAGACAGAAGAGGCAGAGGAGGAAAGATAACCCTTTGAGTTTTCAGTTCACTTACGGCCACACACAGAGAGGAAAAAACATTGATTTTTCAAGCCTTTCGAATAGCCTACTCTCTCTCTCTCTCTCTCTCTATATATATATATATATATATTTAAAAACATTTCTAGGTCAATATTCAATAATAAGAACAATGAAATTAGTGTACAGGGCATGCTAATTAGTAGGTTGTTGAAACTGGAAGTTTCAAGCTCCCCGTGAAATCCAAGAAAAGCCTTCAGGCTGACTGTCTTTTATGTGTAAAGCAGCAAAAGTAGAAGTAATAAAAGTGGTTGATGCAGAGCAGCTTGCAGCAGCGATGGAGCAGCAGCAGCAGTCATTATCATAACTCAGCTGACACGGCTTTGAGAGCAGAAAACGCTCCATGGTTTACAATCTAATAAGTGAATGGCATCATAGGAGCAAAGAGGACCAAATATATTACCACCAGTTTTAATGAAAAACAAAAAAAAAAAAAAGAATGCTCCAGCGAAGATGAAGGATTTATGGACATGCAACTTTACAAAGTAGTATTTCATGCAAAGGCAAACTAAAAGTGAAGTAGACCTTTTCAGCCCGCTTTAAAAGTGTATTTACTGCTCTCTGCAAACACACGCGTACACGAGGAGGCACACAAAAACACACAGGCGTATGGATGAGAGAAAATGAAATGATTGGATTTGAAACAAAATCACAAAACTCTGAAAAGAATGCATAAAAAATGAATCATGAAATGGTGTTTAACAGTATTGACAACTGAACATGATTTGGTTAATGGTTAAAAATGCAAACCTAACACACAGCAATACTATAAACACATTATATAAATGCAATATTGATCACGTGACCTTTAGCTAACACAGGTTTTAATTGGTTGCATTGATGGTTATTTCTTATTTCAAACCCACTTGTTATGTACTGTAAAAAGCTCATCATCATCATCATCATCATGACTTCAACATGTGCTGCACATTGTGTCGTTCAATCTCATAATTAATCAGCAGAAACTCATTTAATCATTTCTGTCCTGACTTGCATTTTCTTTTAATGGTGATGGTAAACATGGTTAGATTAACCACTGACAAAGTGATGGCTGTCGTTATTGTATCAACTCTCAAATCCAAACTAATAAGCGGCTTAACAGGCAGCAAATCTGGAGAGAGTCAAATTGATTTGACAGAATTGATTGAAATGCTTTCACCTAAAGTGAATAAATTCTCACATTTTATTGGATCAGCTTCAGCTTTCACATCCTTTACTTCAAACTAAATGAATCAGTGTATCAGAGTAAAATCATAAGGTAAATAGTTTCCTGTCCATGTATTCTACTGCTATTGTGCTGCTACTACTACTATTACTTGTAGTAGTAGCAGCAGTAGTATTAGTAGAAGTAGCAGCTGTCGTAGCAGTATATATAATATCCAGTGGAAGATTACCTTGAACTCGTAGGACTCTTCTATGACCACTTCCACTTGGGTGTGTTCTCCCAGACTAGGACAGCCCATCTTCGCCACCTCCTCCTCCTCAGCTCCCACTGCAGGCTTGTTTTCATTGGAGTCTCCTTCAAAACCACAACGCACATATAATCACTCAGTACAGACATTCAAAAGTTCATTGGAAGCTTAATGGAAGGATTTAATAATTATTTTCCAACTTTTATACTTTTTTATAATTTAAAATGTATAGGAATATTAAAAAAGAAAAAAAATCTGAAAGGAAGAGATGGAAAAGCTAACACTAAAATAATATCAGACACTGTCCTAATTTGTATACTGGAACAAAAAAAAAATCCGACCTCTTCATGCTAACTCTTTACACACAGTGATAGTCTTTAATTGAGGCAGCTGTTATCAGTGCAGAGCAGCTGTAGGTAAAAACAAAATCAGCACTGAATGTAAAAAAGTATTTGCGTGGCTAAACGTGTGGGGCGGTGAATGTCGATCCACAGCTGACTGTGACAGTCTCATAAAAACTAATTATATGACTCTGTCATGAAACACGCAGCAGGCTGTTGCCCCTCATGTCTGACACCTAAAATCAGGTCTTCCAAATAATCCTACTGTGAATTGAGATGAGATTCAGACAATTAGGTCTGTTTTTGTTTCGTGACACAGGCCCCAGGACTGTGGCAGCAAATCTGAATAGATTCCATTTTGTCTCCCACGCTTCTAAATCTTTTAATTCTCCCATGAAATAACAAACAAAAACACACCGTGCTTCTGCCCGATTTCCAGCAGAATTGGATCCCCCAGCTCAATGATGAAGGTTTTATTTTTCTCATACTCTTCATCGTCGATTATCTTCACCTCGATGATCTTCCTGCAGAGGGAGAAAAGATACGTTCCTTTGGCATTAGCTCGTTAGACAGAGGCGATTACAGCGTGTGTAAAAGCTCGACCCCGTCGTGCTGTAAACAAACGTGAGGTCATTTCTGCTGCACAGATAAACTAACAGCGTTTTTATTCATGCCTTGGACATGTTTAAAAAAAAAAACACACAAACAAGAACAGGATTCCCAACCTCAGCAGATAATAATAACAAATCTGCTCAGTGTAAAAGCTGAAGCTCAAGTCAGTGTGCCTAATGAGACAGTAGACAGGTGTTTACGTCACTGGCTAACGAAGATGCATGGCACTGAGGTCTAATTACTCTTCACCTCTCACAGTAATCAGAGGTGTGTGTGTGTGTGTGTGTACAGTATGTGTGTTGCACTGAATTCAACCATCAACCAACATAATAAGGTACTATTATGGCTGCAGAACTTACCAAATATACTATGTAGTGCACTGCAAGAAAAAACGTGCACACATTGTAGTTGGATTATTGTCAACATATTATCCAGCCCAGGCAACATGCTTGTCTGCTTCCATGGGCATTGAAGGATAGGGTTTGGACACAGATCTCTCAACAAGTCACCTTGTAACGTCTGATTCTGGTCTATACCATCCAGAGTCTATTCATTTTACTGCAACACTCCATCTGAGTCTGACAGAGTCACATTTACACGTAGGTTTGTCATCAAAGCTCTCACTGTCAGCCTTGTTGACTCCAACATAAAATAAAAAAACAAACAAAAAAAAACAACAACAAAAAACCCCCCAAAAAACAAAATAAAACAGTAGAGAATGATAGAAGTGGAGCCTGAGAGACATGGTGGAGTGATGTGAATGACAGAAGTGGAAGAGCATTATTTTGGCATTTAAATCGAAGTGACAGATCTGACTATTCGTAGCTACAATAAAAACTCGGCACATCCTGAAGGACAGGGTCATGTGGGCCACATATTTGGGTTTCCTAAAGATCCAATACAAAATCAGACGCATGGCTTAAAAATGGGAATATTAAATGAACAGTAGAAGGCGCTGCACCACAATCTGGCCTTGAAATTTAAAGAGAAATTTACTTTTTATCTTTTTAACTTTTTTGCCCTGAGCCTTACCTCGTATACTGCACAAGTGACGGCTTTAGAAACTACTTTGAAGCTCACACCTGGTCTTCAGTTCTGTGGCCGAGAACTAGAATGTTAACAATACAGTTTCCCGAGGATTAGTGCTCATACAGTACAACATTGTCAGACAAACTGCTTCATCAGGATATTCATCTAAAATATGCCAGGTGAAAGCACTGATCTATAGTTCTTTAAAACTATTTCATGAACCAAAGACTTATAAAACAATATCAGTAGAAAAGCCTAAAACAAATCATTTACCTGTTTAAACTTGGCAGCTTTTTAACCTGTCTGTGGTGAACAAAGCAACATCAAAATGAAAATGTTTAAGGAAGACTGTGATTCTAGTAACATTAAATAAATATTTAACGTTAATGTATATTCCTCGCTTTTCAAACGACTGTACTAATTGAATCTGTTAATGTAGTACATAATACACAGCATGTCCATGGGCATTGTACTAGGTGAACCGTGTCATATTCATGACAGAGACCGTGGTTTGTGTGAACAGACGCGTACAGTATGTCGCCCACACATGTACGTACTCATGTTCCACTCAGATATCAGTGTGCAAAACACAAAAACACATACAGTTCAGCAGAACGTACACCAAGTAACACTCGGGGAATTCATTAATGTATGTATGCACTAATGCAGCCAATTAACACAGTGCACACACACACACGCGTACACACACACTGCAGTGGCAGAGCTTTCATTATTCATAGTGGCTTGTGGCTGGAGCAGTGATCCCATTTGTGCCCCCGTCGCTCCATCTCAGTCTCATTCTCCTTCATGTCTCTTTTATTCACCTCTCCTTTCGCTCTCGAGCCCCTTCCTCTTATCACATGAACTCCAGAGCGTCTGTTTCCATCACAGCCCTCAATCTAACAGCGCCTGATTTAGGATAAGACCTTAAACAGATTTCCACATCAGTGCGGCAGCAGAATATTTGAATGGACTGGGCCGTCTACAACAGTGTTCCTCAAACTTGTTTTCTGGGGACCAAACCTTCGCCACCCAAGTCAATAGAGCAGTGATTTCAACCACTGTGCCGTGAGAGATCATTAGGTGTGCCCTGGCAAATTATCCAATTTCACTTAATTGGTCAGAAAAAAATATTATTTATATATTGCATAGTTTTTCTTTGTTTAACAAATAAATACTGGTCCACTAAGCGGCAGCAGATGGCTATGAAAACTATTGAAACTATATGAAAAATTCAGAGCTGTTGAAGGAGAGCTAAAAAAAAAATTCAGAGCTGTTGAAGGAGATGTTTGAGTGTCTTTCTTTAATTCCTGTGAGTACATCAGAGTTGTCTTCAACTAAACAGGTCGAATTTTGGTGAATTGAATACATTTAAACTAGGAGGTTATTATATTGTATTACATATACTTTTTGTCAGAATTTTGTTTGGTGGTGTGCTGTGGTGCTAAAAACATTTGGGTTAGACATTACAATAGACATTATTCGTAAATTCCTGGGAAACTGGGAAAATGATGTGAGACAACCCCCCCAAAAAAAAAAAGAAATCTTGCGACCCACCTGAGGGTTGCGACCCAGTCTTTGGGAAACAATGGTCTACAACATTGCTGAATTGGGTTAACAATTTCATTTTAAGTTGTTGTATTTATTCATCAAGTTTCAAGTTTGACGTTCTTTTAATTCAATGCCTCGTCATCAAAATCTAAAACTTCGAGTGTTTACTTTCCAGTCTTTTTTCCTGCCCTTGTCTAATCATTTTCTCTTGGTTTCACTTGTGTTATTTCAACTGTGCCAAACAAGTCCTGTTGCCTCACTGTTTACTGTTATTTTAATCAATCCAGAAGAACTCATTATAATTACACTGCATATAATTCAATGAAACACTTTATCTCTTCACAGCCATAGATTTTAATTTTCTTGAGTCTCTCGAGGCAGATTCTATTGGACAATGAATGTCTTTCAGTATTTGTGTTCCACTGACCGTATCATTTTCTCCAACAATAGAGCTCTCTCAATTCTTCTCATTCAGTAAATGACTTCTTCTAAAGTTTCAAACCTCTCTGACTATTTCTTGACCAACGCTGATTTCTTCCACATTCGTATTTTAAAGAACTACCTTTACATCCCTCATGACAAACACTTGACAAATAAAGCTGAGATCCAATGCCAACTTGTGAGATTTAGGCTGTTTAACTTCCTGCGGGTACATTTCAAAACGCGACACATCACAGTCTTTCTCTCCTTTTCTCTCGCTCTCTCACCTCATCTGTCTCACCTTGTCTATTTATTTCCACCTTGTTACTTTTTGACACCTGCTCCCCAGAAACTTCCTCTGTCAGACAGTAGCCTCGGTGCCCCGACCTGTCAACGCAGTGACAGAAAACACACACACACATAACCGCTCCACTGAAAACACAACATGCACTGCCAGAAATAGACCATGAGATGCAGAAGAAGATGGAAGGGTGACAGAGAGAACAGGCCACTTAAAGTCGTCAAACAGAATCAGACTAATGGGAACGTTCTATCCTAAAGCAGAGGACACTTTGGAATATACAGTGCACAGTATGTGTGTGTAAGTTGTGTGTGTGCACGGAGGTTTGGAAGTTTTTGCAGAGGTGAGTGATTGAATGACAGTTGGATTTGATTAGCGTTGGCCTCAGCACATTACTTAATCAACAAAACTTCTCCATGGTCTTCAATATCCATCACTTTCCATTTACTTTTGGCTGCAGTTCTTTGTTTTTGATTTACAGCCACTAAGTTGTTTATGTGCACATGTGACTGACTGTGTTTTTTTTGTTCTGTGTGTGAGTGAGAGAGAGAGAGAGAGAGAGAGAGAGAGTACCAGATGGATCTTTTGCAGAACGACAGCATAAAGCAATTCATTCTCCTGAGTGAGCTTGATTTACACACGTAAATGCACTTTAGTTTGACCATTTCTGCTTCTACTTCAGCTCCTAAATTTCTCTCTTTGACACATATGCACACACACACACACACACACACACACACACAGCCAAAGCATTAATAATAACAAAACATCTCAAGTGTCTCAACATGCATAATTCAATCGACTGCATAATTTATTTTCTTGCCATATTTTGGGCGTTTCTGCTCTAAAAAAACATTTCCCTGCTCAGTTGATACCAAACTGCTTTTTCATTTGCCTTGAAAAGGAATGACTTCAGCTTCAGATGACAGTGTAACAAACAACGCAATAAACACAAACAGTGTTGCAGTGACATAATTTTACTTTGTCCTAGGACAGCGAATGCACCACTGGCATTTCTACATCTCTTAGTGGTTAATTTTACATAAGCTTTGCCACCAATAGATCGAGGGACCACATGTTGTTTGCCTGCTGATTTTTCCAATCTGTACAATCTTACACACATCAGGGGTCAGAGGGTGGGGTTGATCATCTGCTAGGTGAAAGGTCAGGGTTCACTCTGTGGGTCCATCAGTATGATGACCCTGCTCTCTAAGAAGACTGAGCTGACAGCACATTACTGCAGCTGGTAATACAGCAAATGTGTTCAAATAGAGCTGGATTTAAAAGATGCAAATATGTTAACAGCAAACTTCAGTTTGTGCTGATAAAGAGCAGATATAGTTGGATTTAGATTCACAGATATGTCCTTAAAGTGCACATCCTCAACTCCACTATATGATTTGAACTATTTTTCTGATTAACACTAATGCTCACAGTTTTTCCATATCTGCTGTCCTATTATCAGGAAGGACTGTTTAAATTCTGCTCACTCTGCTAATCGTGTAATTCTGATTGACAGAAGCTTATTAATGTTTAGCATTTAAAGCTAGTGCAAAATGGAAGCTTATTAATGTTTAGCATTTAAAGATAGTGCAAAAATGTAGCATTGGA